TTTTTTCCCCCCCCCCCCCCCGAAAGTTTTCTGCGGGCGCCCATTGGTAGTAAACAAGATCTTTAATAATTGAAAACGGGTTCATCTCAAATGTTAAAAACGGCCTGATGAAAATTTCCGAAAGACTTCCAATTCATAGCAGGTGCGTAGGAATACTAGGAAGGGGGTGTGAAAGGGACGCTCAGGCCCTTTTTTCTTTATATGAAAAGGTGGTATTTTTGGCCACCCTGCAGCGGATCTCTCGGCCTGCATTTTACAAACTTAGATTTAACTCGTTCAATGTTTCTATGTGGAAATACCATTCACCCCACCCCCCTTCCCCACATCTTAGAGTGCAAACAACACTCATTACTTAGCTAAAAGCTTCCACCCCAGGAGTTGGAGCACCGTAAGTGTATTAATATTATATTGAAAGAAATGAATTCATCGTATAATATTTGCGTTTGGATTTAGCGATGTGCGTAAGATTCGCCGAGGCTTGATGAAATGGGTTCATGGTTTTTAGTCCCTCGAAGAGAAGTTAAGGCGCGACTAGAGCGCTTGGGAAAGTATATAGAGACACCAGTGGCGTAGCTATGGGAGTGCGGACCGCACCGGGTGACACCAACGCTATAGCAACGCCACTGATAGACACCTTTGTTGAAGCATGTTTTCATTTAATGGTAGCTAGTTAAACTGTGATTGGACGGCTTTTTCCGTCAAAATTAATCAATTTATAACAAGAAAAGTAGAAGATGAAAAGGAATTAGGAAACGATTTACAGCCCAACCCCTAAAAAAAGAACAAACCAACAACAAAATAAGATAAATAATAAAAACAGAACAGAATTTCTTAATAACAGTGGAGGGAATGGTGGGGATAATAACGAGTTCTTACCATTTGGTACTACTGAGTATATCTTCAGAGTTGTTCATCTCACGGGACGAACTACGTACTCTGACAACAGTGGCAGGGCCGAATTCTCCGTCATGTTTCTCGTCCTGCCCGTCCCGAGGGGAAATCCGCCCGTCTTTAGGTGCGACCCGCCCGTCGTGAGGTGGGACCAGCACGTCATGAGGTGGGACCAGCCCGTCATGAGGTGAGACCAGCCCGTTATGTTGACGTGGCCCCTGTCCGGGATCCCCGTGTGTCATCACGCTACCAACGGATGCCATATTAATCCCGCGATTAGTTCTAGAGGCACTTGTGTTGTCGGAGTTCTCTTTTTGAATGGCATTATTCGTTACGCCACGTATCTTTCGGGTTTCGCGCTCACAGGTGATATTATCCAATGTAGCTGCCCTGTCTGTTTTATTGGCGCCGTGCTTGCGGTTAATGAAGGACTTACGGGAATCCCCAGAAGTCCTACTATTGGCACTGCCCAGGCTAGACCCGGCCGTAGCGCTGAGGTCTAACCCCGAATCTGCTCCAAATGTTTCCGAGAGATCTTTCTTTTTCTCACGGCTCGCAGTTGTACTCTTGTCATGCGATGATCGAAAATTGACTTCTGGATCGGACATGGAGCGAGTTCGGTGAAATGTGCCGTGGATGTGCCGGGAAGACACGGGCTGTGAAGACGAGTAAGGATCGATTTCACAGCTGGAGTCGTAATCGCTCGTGTCCCCGAACAGCTCACAACCGTATTCGTAATCCGAATAAGCAATGTCCAACGCTTTGCCTTTCATTTCGAACGTATCCAAATCAGGGTTCAACTTGAATGTGTCGAAAGAGCAATCGCGGCCCGGATCTTCGATGCAGATACCGGTTGAGGTCGCGAACAGCACGGGGACTTTAAATGTTGGCTTGGAAGGCGCTAACGTCCCTTCTTTATCTTTGGACTTGTGTTTGCGGGGCGTCGTCTCGTTCTCGGACGTTTCTTTCTGGAGACTGACCGCCGACGACTGTCCCTTGACGTTCACGTCAACGATGGCGTTGTTTCTGCGGCAGGTCAGCGTCTCTTTGGCGCCCCGCCAGATCTCCTTCTTAAGAATCAACGTCACCAAAGGGAATACTGCGGAGAAACCGAATCTCATCCAGATGAACGCGACCCCCAGCTCCCACGGGTAGCCCAAGTCCGAAACGTTCGCCGGTTGCTTGTCGTTCTCCGCGTGTTTTATGTACGTGATGGTGATGTAAGGGACTTCAGAAACCAGCCACGCCGCAGTGAGACACATCGTGAAAGCTGTTCGCCGGGATTCTTCGGAGTTTAGCGACTGGCTCTTGGTGATGTGAGCATACGTTTGTCTCTGGGCGTCCCCTTCGCACTGCGTGTAGCTGAGCTCACACGACAGCCTGAACGCGAGAACGTGAAAGACTACGATGGTGATGAAAGGCACTAGGAAGCAAAGGATAAGCGTCGCGTAGAGAAACGCGATTGAAGTTTCTGAAGTAACGGTGCACACGTAGAGCTTTGGACGGTAAACCGATTGGACAGCGTCTGTTAGAAAGGGCAAGCTGAACGTTATCGCGTGCACCCACACGCAGGCGATCACGACGTACAATCTATGTGATGAGAGCCAGGTCTCGTATTTATGCGTGAAGCGTAGCGACAAATAACGGTCGACGCAGAGCGCCGTCAGCATCAGCGCAGTCGCAACGGAGACGGCATTCAGAAAGAATATGTTGACCTTACACATGAAATCTCCATAGATCCACTCTTTCATCATCAGGGCCCCGAGGACTATCGCCATGTTGAGTGTGCAATCTGCCACGCACAGGGCGCAGACGTTGGCGATGAACACGTTTTGGGCCGTCCTGAGCTTCAGATTGTGAGCGATGACGACGATAACAAGCAGACTCCCGACGAATGAGGTCAACATGATGATGATCAAGAATACGACCTTTGTCGACCCCGAGGCATCGTCCACTTCCAAAGTTGCATTCTCACCCGGTGAACTGTATCCCATGATGAACTTATTTTTTTTTTTTAAATCCTTAACTAGGAAACACGTTGTTACACTCCTATTCTTTGACAACAGATGAATCTTAAATCTTTAACTTTAAGCTTCTTTTCACGAAAGGAGTAATCACTGAATGGTATTAAGAATTAAGCAAGAGAAATATCCACAGCTCGAGCCTCCAAGTTATTTATTCGCTGGGTATACAAATGTCTTAATTCCACAATCCCCTCTCCCCATTGCCGCGAGAGGGACGTGCACTACTTGAAAGCCAACACATACAAAATTATGGAGAAACAAAAATACTCTCTCATAAACAAAGAGGAAGGTGTTGTTGTACCTCCAAACGTTTCTGCGACACTCAGCGCACCTGGCTTGACGTGACGAGTCTTGCTGTCCCGAGGACACTGTCTGCCACGGCCCAGTGCCGCGTTCCTCTGATCACAGGTCCGCAACCACCGACAGACTGGAACCGCTCAGAGACTATTTTTCAAACGTTGATCAAAATGGTCCAACTGTCGTGACTTGGGTAAGGTATGTGATTCCGTACAGCGCAGCGTGGGAGAACTGGGTTAATGGCGGTAATCGATGGGGGGAAAGTGGGATCGATTTCGTATTGAATGACGGCCCCGGGACTTCAATGATATGGGACTCAAAACGTCAGCTGTTTCATTTGTGATTCCGCACTGGGGAATTTGTCTTTTGATCCAGGAGATATCTGTAGTTAGCACAGCACTTCTTAGTCTACTAGTTCTAGTTAGTCAATCCCAAGAAACAATTGCAACGGTCGCATGGTTCACGGAGGTAGCCAACATTGCATCAGGCATAAAAGGGTAAGACATCAAACAAGTTGCACCGCACAATGTCATGTTCCACTGTAGCCCCCATATTCATTTGAGCCGTATGTGCCATTCGAGAGAAGAAAAAATAGACCAGTGAGACACCGCAAAAATAGATTTGAAAAGGGGGGGGGGGGGGGGGGAGCGCGAAAACTATAAATCATTTTTACTCAGCTCAACTTTTACATATGTATTTTTTTTAATCGGACGGGTCAACTGTGTAGGTGGCGCAATAAATTTCCCGCCTTTTGCACCGCTCACAAGTGTCCGCACGATCAATCATTTTTATGGCGCATGTCCTTAAAACTACAATATGAGATGGAGGTGCGCAAATTTCATTTTTAAAAGGCCCCCACAACAAAATAATTACCATTCATTTCAAAAGACCTGTAGTTTGCAGCCTATTTCAAGGTTCACAAATCTTCTTTGCTCTTGGTCCAATAAACGCAGCTGTGCCTGTCTATACAAAGATAACACCTTCATCTTATAAACACATCAAAACTAATACTAATACCGTACTTATAATTTAAATGTCACCATTGAAAAATTAAAAAAAAATGAATATATATAACCTAGCAATGAAATTGGCCTTATTCAAATGATCTTTATCATTCAGCATTTTAGTAACATGCCCTCCTTCTAACATCTGTATTAATGGGTTCGGAACCAAGTATGTATGCAGGAGGCAATGTCAGGGAGTGTGAAAAGACACAAAAAAATCATTTTTTAAAATTTGCTTTTTTATTGGGGTGGGTGGGGGGGGGGGGGGGGGGTGTTTTATGTTTTGAAATTGGGGGGTGTTATATGTTTTGAAATCGAGATGGGGGAGTGGGGTGCTAAAAAAAGGGTAAAGAACCCCTGGTCTAAATTGATACAATTTTGGTTTTACCAATATAAATATAAATATAATTCCCATTGTTTTGACCAACAAGGAATTGCTTTACTTTTTTTTTTTTTAAAAACTAACATAAGAAATGTAACAAATGAAATTTACAAACGTATATTATGTGTCAACTATCAATGTGACATTAATATCATGTACAATACTTTTAATGGCCGTATCAAATAAAAATGGATAATTGCACACACACACAAATCTCAAGCACAAGATTATGAACTCAAATCTAATGAAGTATATTGTGATATTTAAGGTGAAGGAATCTTTTCACTTCAAATGAGATGATCAAATATGTCGATAACCTTGTCACAAGAATATGGTTTTAAAAATTATAAATTACATAAATGCCAGCAACTCAACAATAAAAATCACAGTTAAATAATTAAATCCAATTGAAATGTCTGTAATGTTATTTATTATATTCTGCCTTCGAAAAGAAAGTAACATGAAATAAACACATCAATCTGTCCATCACTTTTATTCATTACAAAATTACATGTTTATATTTTATATATATTTTTTTTTAACATTCTAAATGGAATAATTCCAATTTGAATATTTGTATAAGCCCTGTTAATGTTTATTTACCATATATCTAGTTTATAAACACTATTACTATTATAACATTAATTTTGTAAATATTTTATTTTATTTTTTTGTGTTTAACACTCCCAACCCTTCCTTTTCCTGAAAAAAAAAAAAAATATATCATAAAGAAAACCCCCAAAAATTAAAACTTTTTTTCTAGTGCAACTGTCCACCGCTGTTTCTTGAGAGTATTCAAACACAATTACATTTAGTAAATTAACTTGAAATAAAGCAACTGAACATTTATTTTTTGCTTACCAGTAGAATTACACAAAATTTCAATACCTGGCCACTGATATTTACAAAAATGTGAATAGATGAAGTTTAATTAATACATTGACTTTAGTAGCAAAAATATAGAAATCAATTAATAAAATCACATAATTCAATTTAAAGATTTTGAACAAATTACTGGTAATTCATTTTTTTTTTATATCTTAAAATTAATATGTTTTTACTCTTTAAGACTATAACTTTACTATGGCCTATCAAACTGGTTACTTACAAAAAAAGTAACTATACAATTAAAGTTAAGAATTAGCTCCAGCTGTAATTATTATAATTATAGATACCCCGGTAGATATAGTGATTAAGTCGTAAGTTCAAAATGCAAAAAGTTAGATCTAAGTTATTATCAAAGTAATTTTAATTCCAACATAGCCATCCATGCATAAGAATCATTATTTTTTGGTCATTTTAAATTTAACCAAACCTCTACTGGATCACATATCAAATGTATACTGGTAAATTTAAAAAGTTTTTATTACATTTTAAGTTATTTTGTGCAGAACAAACCATTATTTCCAGCTGAAAGAAATGAACAATGAATGAATGACTAGCAGTCACTAGGTCAGTCATTTAAGAATAATTTAACATGAAAGACGCCATCCCCAAAATTGGCAACATTAAATATAGCCCGTTTAGGGAAACAAAAATGGAGCCATTTTGAGTACCGTAACAGAAATGCAATGCTCTGTAACAAAAAGTAATTAACAAAAATTAAAATGTAAAAAAAAAAAAAGATACAAGTAAAAGAAATCTTAACTTTTACACAAGTATATTTATTCGTGATGTTAAAAATATCCTTTTAATCAGCTTTACAATTTACTTTAGGTGTACATTATATACTAAACAAGTAAGTGAAACTTAATAGCAAAAACGATACAATAATATTATAATTTATACAAATTTCCTCTCAAGAAGCTGGAAAATATAAGTTTTGTTGGTTGTTTCGGAAAATGAGATTCCTTCTCTCTTCTTTCCCATCTTTCACCTCCAGACCACTCTGGCAAATGTTTGATGTTTCCAGACGGAAAAATGATTTGGCTGATTTGATTTCTTCATTGCTGTTAATCACCAGGGAAGGCTAGGAGTATGGTCACGTGTGCTTGTTTGTGCATTTTAACCAGATCTAGATCTCCAATTAATGGATGATGTACTACATCAGCTGATCCGCCTCTGCCAGTTGGCCTTCATCATAGTCCGCATCATAAATATCCACCTCAGTGGTAGCACTTGAGCTACTGGAGCTATCAGAACTGTCTTGTTTATGGAGTTCGTTCTCCCTGGCAGCCCCTTCTATCACATGTAGCGCATCCTCATTGGTCTCATCGTTATGGGGGGCGGGCACTTCCTGGGAGTGCGCCTCATTAGAGTTGGCCAGATCTCTGTGGCACATGGGGCATGTTTCTTTCACGTACAGCCACTTCCTGAGACAGACGCAGTGGAACAGGTGATCACAGGGTGTAACACACGCTGTCTTCATGTCACTGTAGCAGATGGCACAGACATCATCATGCTTGGCCAGTTGCTGTTCAGTGGCTAGAGGAAGGGACTCCACCTTTTTGGCAGCCTCCCACCGCAGCAGGAAGCTTTTCCAGCCGCTTTGCAACCTCTTCCAGACGTTGAAGTAGCAGTGGACTATCAAGATGATGGAGTTGATCCAGCTCCATTCCCCTATCAGAGATTCCTTTAAACCAAAACATACAACGAACACAGCAACAATAAATTCTAAAACTCTAGTCAGGGCTCTAGCACAGTACACGACATCATCAAGTTTCTCCCAGGGGTCAGGCCTCATAAAGTCATACATGAACAGCATATAAACAACCAACGATCCTATGACTTGCACAGAGGTCAGCAAGCAACTGGACACAATGACCATGAGCCAGAAATCCATGTCGAAATACTGACAGATGAAATAAGTCATGTATAATGGAAGTATCCACAGCACTGTGCAGAGTGTGACTGCTTTTAAGTGCCTGATTATACTGGGGTTGTGGGAGGCACTTAGGGCCAGCAGTATTGGATCAGCAATCTCATACATGGACTGGATGAGGGAAGACAACACGATGAACAGCAGGATGCTCATGAGAAAAGCTCTCTGGAGTGGTTTCAGCTCCAGTAGATCAGTTTGCACAGCTATCAGGAGCATGGTCAACCCTTCAGTCCAGCCTCTCATTGTGTCATGTTCAAACGCATCCATCCCTTGGAGGTAGAGCTTAGTCAAGCAAAGAATGGCGCAGGAAGCATAGGTGATGGCCACGCACAAGGCCAGCAGACTGACAGGTGTGGCGCAGCATTCCCCCATGCTGGCCAATAAAAGGACCAGCCAGCCCTCCTGCCAAATTCCAAGATTCTCAGTGTACACATAAACATAGATCTGCGACAAAAACATTAGTCCCCAAAATAAAACAAGCTGTACTGGAAGAGCCATAGTGCGCCAGAATGTTAGAGCCACAGGTATAATGCCAAAGGTTCTGAAAGAAACTACTGCCACATTGATGCCCTCCTTACAGATGTCAATTATAATGCCCAGGTTGTTGAAGATGCAACAGAGAATCAACAAAATTGTGTAGACAGTTGCAAAGTCGTGCACAAGGTGCAGCTCTGACACAGGGAACCCTGTCAACCTTGCAACAACAGGCAGTGCGAAAGCCAACAAGGTGAACTTGACCCAGTTCTCAATCTCCATGAGGTAGGCCACAACAGCTGCAATGAAAACTTGAGTGAATATGTGCAATACCAGACGCTCAATGTGTTTGCGATCTTCAAGCAGGGCCGATAACCCTGCATGCAATGTGATGTTTTCTTTGCCAGCTGTTTCTAGTTCCTCTTCGTGCTCCAGTTTTTCTACAGACACATATGCTTTGGACACCATTTTAGCACAGGCCATAAGACCAGCGCACACAAGATATATGTAGAATGTGACCAGGTGCCTCAATGGCAGAGTGGCAATAGCTACTGCTATGACCAAGGCTGGAAAAGAAAAAAAGATAAGAAACTGTATTTATAACTTTATGTAGACTATAATTAATTAATTATTTATTTNGGGTTCATCGAAAGTTTTAAAGTTGTGGACAAAAAAGGTCAGTTTGGTTGTACTTGTTATCAACTACTTTTTATTTTTTTAAACCGAATTTGGCTGGTTTTTTCAAAACCGGTACTGAATATGACTTTACCAGGCAATTTCCACCACAACTTGAAAAATGGCACTTAAAATATATTTTCTAAGGGATTTAAAAATAACACTTAAAAATAATAATTCTGATACAGTCGAGCAATATGCTCTATGAGATAAACTGAAAGAAAAACCATTTAAGGTATTGGTATTTATTTTGGAAATAATAACAACTTTACGCTACCGGTATAGGTAGTTTCTGTCAATTAATCATCAATGTAAATAAAACACAAAATATTCATAGCTTAATTAAAATAAGCATTTTATGACTAGAATTAGCATTTTTAAATTATTACTTACCCATATAATAGGCTGCTGTGACAATTAGCTCCACATCATCTGAATGAAGCTGTATAGTTTTATGAGGATTGGTGCGGAACCATACCTCAATAAGAAATAGAGCTGGAACTCTGAGAATCACACTGACTATTGTCTCCAAAGACTCTTGAGATATCTTTAAAGGATGCATTCTCAAGAAAACGTTTCTTTTAGTTCTAGGCTATCTCTGATTCAGTTCAAAATTTCTATGTTCAATCTCCATGAGTCCATCTGACTGTAAAGACTGAGGCTAGTAGGAAGGCTTACACTGGAGAAAAAGTAGAATTTTATTAAATTATATTTTAAACTTAGGCCTTTATTAACTTATTAATATTTTAGAATCAATAATATTAAAATTAGATTAGGGGCCATATATGATCATGAGGTCATGCTATTTTAGCAAATTCTTTACCCCACCACTCAAAAAAATTTGGAACCCTTGTAATACATCATAACAAATTCATGACACACTCCCTCATTTTCTTCTTCTTGATGAGGGACTTCTTATTCATTGATTTATCTGCATTTTGGTGATAAGGCGATAAGGCCTAACAATTAAACTTATAATGAAATCTTATTTTATCATACTGTTACTTATTAGTTACTGGTAGCACTTAACAACTTTTAATTTTGACATATTATAAAAAAGCAGTTGAAATCTATTTTTAGAACATTAAGACAACTCTCATTTTGATACAGTTTGTTAACAGCAATTTATCTATTTTATAATTAGTTACCAAACTGTGACAATGCCATTTGCATTTACACAACTTGTGAATTGAGATCTATACTATAAGTAAATTACAGAATACATGCAGCGTATTTCATTCCAATCTGCAGTTATCTTGCTTTGGAAATTTTGTATGGTTAGACATCTGCAACTATATTTACGCATTGTCTACTGTCTAATTGTATTGATTTGTTTTTAAGTCTTTTATTTACATAATTATTTTTAAAAGACTGGCTTTTAAAAATTAAATAGTTAAAATATGAAGACGAAGATAAAAATATCTTATCGTTTTTTAAAAATCAAGAACTATTTATCTTAACCAATAACCACTGAAAAAACTAAATTACGGTACCCGTAATTAACATCTAAAAATTTTAGACCTATTTAAAATTTAAACTATTTGTTTGTTGGTACACTCCACACTGACCTGGCACAGGAGAGAAGTGTCATCCATATTACCATAATGATGCTGTAATGAATGAGTTGTGAGTATGTCTTCTCAAAACTCACTTCTCATGCTGTTAGGGGTTTACCAAGAATTTGTGATCAGAATCATGACAATGAGGTTTTGAATTTGTTCCAGTTTGACACTGACACACTGACAGAGTTTTTCCTTGGCCTTGGTGGTCCTTAGCTTACTTTTACTTTGAACTTTTGTCTTGTTTTTTAAAAATTAAAATAGTAGTAGAAGTAGTTTTAGTTTGCTTAGCAGTCAGTTGGGTATTTAATGTTACAATTTTATTAAAAAAGACAGTCACTTTCATTAAGCCTTTATTAAGGCTAATTAATGCTAAACTAAGACTTATTTTAAGTAAAAAGTTCGACTCTTTACTGAACTGACTTTACTGTCCTCACTTTACACTTTTAACTGTTCTGATTCTCCTCAAGCCTCGAGTTCTAGTCTCAACACTCTACTCTACACTCTTGTGTCTTTCTTACTCTACTGCTACTAAATTACTAAAGACTAACACTAGTAACTAAAGACACTAAAGTAAGTTAGTATATTAAGTTATAAGTTTATCTAGTACTTCACTAATAATAGTTTAGTAATAATAGTATAACTTAGTTAGTATAAGAAGTAAGTAAGTAGGCAAGTCTAGGTCCGAATCCTAGTCTAGACAACTTACTTGCACTAACTGATAAATCAACAGTGATATGAAAAATTATAAATAACAAATCCCATGGTATGTATTGGTAAATAGTAAAGAGTATGTCTTTAGTTTGTAACAGGTGGAACTTTTTCAGGTACGGTGGTACTGACTACTAAGCCTAAATTACGATGACTCGTTTGTTTACTTCCGGCAGAAAGACTATTTAGATTTTTCTCCCTTTCATTTCAATCCACGTGTACGGCTCGGTACAAATTTTCAGCTTGTGCAGCCTTTACGCTTTCACTTTTACGGTATTTACATATAGTATGTTTTAGAAGTAGACTATTGGTTCTTGTGTCGATACGTTTATCAAAAGATTAATAAAATTTGAGACCAGCATTATGAAAAATCACTACTTTAGAATTTTATGGTTCATTTTGTCTTTCTTGTCCTGGTTATTTTCATAAAGAAACCTAATAAAAGAACAATTTATCAGCAACTTCAGTAATTTGTTTTTAAAATGACAATGTGACATGTATATTTGCCAATCTCTGGTGTCAAACACATTTTAAGTCATTATTTTTTAAATGTTTCAATCAAAAGCTCAAAAAGTCTATGTCTTGTACCCAGGGCTTTACCCTGTTGGACCAGTAAAAAGACAACGCTGACGCCCCTTAATATTTGTGAAGTGAGCGTACTTGTGATTTTATCGTTTACTTAAGTATTAAAGTCCTTTATAAATACAATTTTGGCACTTCATGAGAATGCCTCCTTCCCACGGCCCTGCTTGTACCATTATTAGACCGACCTGGCGCAACTAAGAGCAACAGTTTTCACTCCCAGATAACGCATTGGAGCTTATAACATATAGAGTCTAATAAATTTTTAAAAAAAAGAAAAAAGAAAAAATTATAATGTGGAGGAATATTCTTGCTTTGCATCATCATGAATCGAATATTATTTCCGATAATATCATCGAAAAATTCATTATTGTATCATGGACATATTCTTCATTATTTGGATGAACATGCTATTTGTTCGAAATATATGCCTAGATAGAAAATGTCAGGAAATATAAGGGTTTTGTTACACGCGTCATTTAAAGATGAGTTCAAATAAGCTTTAAAACAAAAGTCACACATTTTCCCAAAGATAATACTAACGCTATAAACTTTAATTTGGGTTCTCATCCAAATTAAAATCGTCAACGTGTTCGTGTAAGTGTAAGTAAATATCCTTGTTAGGAAATCGGTCCAAAGTAAGCAAATATAATGTGAGAAATTGATTACTTAAATGTTTACAATAATGGATACTCTGATTTAATGCTTTAGTAGCTCAGCCCAAATCAGTAAATAATTTTGTAAATTGAAAATTGTAAAGGGTCGTCCATCAATTACGTCAACACTTTTTACGCAATTTTGACCCCCCCCCCCCTTTTTTTTTTGTCAACAACTGTAAAACTTTCGATGACCCCCC